TTTTGATTTAGTCCAGTCTCTTCGGGTTTCACTCACATGTATGGATTGTATTCAGCCAAAAATTTAACAGAGCTCCTATGGAATGTTTGGATCGCTTTCTTTGTGTACATGTCTTCTCTTGGGGATTCTGTGTCATTCCCCTGCATTCCAGCTGTCCTGACACCTCCCCCCATAACTGATTGATGTCGTTTTAGTGTGCAGTGTTGGTAGGTTCTTATGGGTTTCCCTTTCTTATGTTAAATGGAAATTACCTCCAGGCAGAAAGCTGGAGGGCTCTCTCATTTATTGCTCTGTTGTAGCCATAGTTTGGGATCATAGTTTTGAGGTGCCTTTGCTCAGCATCAGAAATAAGCTGTTTTCTATATTTTGTATGATTTCTGGTGGTTTAAGCAGAAAGATATTCTTGCATTTTCTTTGTCCTTCATGTTTGGAAGTGGAAACATCCTTATAACACTTCAAATTTTTCTATTTACTCTATAAACTTACCCCTTTTCTAAAGCAACTTTATCTCAAATGTGAAAATGTCAACCCTCTCCTGTTTATTTTTTAAATTCTCTTCAGTAGGTGGCCATGATGAAGGCGATCAAGATCTCACACTTCAAATTCTGTTCAGATACCTTGGGTTTAATAACCACAAACTCTCCTACCATCGCTGTGGATCAGGGATCAGCTGGGGTAAGTACATGGGTCCTGTGGTACAAAATTTAAGGAGGAACTCACTCTCAGATGCCGCTCCTATACTTGTGTTACCTGGCAGTCAGTGTCTCCTTAAATTTTGTGCCGTAGGTGCCATGCTTGCTTCATGCTAGTCCAGGCCTGGCAGCAGGTGTTCTAGACAGAGATCAATCATTTTCATGAGCTAAGCCTGTGTTCCTAAACCATTATTAACTAGATCACATACTTCCTTTACAGTAAGTGTAAGTCTCTTTCACCTTCACAGTTAAATTATTTTAACTTCTCTCCAACCATCTATTTTCTTGAAGGAGCTATAATAAAGTCTGGTGTAAAATGTCAGTTCCTTAGTATTGGCTGAGAAATGGAACAAAGAAAAGACTATCGGGGTAGCAAATACCGTTCCACAAAGCCACGGCCGCATGTGTGAGGCCTTCCCAATTTTCAGACCAGTTTGCTCTGGCCGCAGAAATAAATGACCCTCCCCACCTAGGGCACATCTGTTCCATGTGGGCTGTTGCCTACTGGGCATGCAGCCATATTCATAGTTTGAGTCCCCAGTTAGCCTGACGAGGCTCCAGAAATGAATCTGGATTCCTACGAAGAGGGATCTTAATACAGGTCAGGGACATGCGGTTGGGCTCTGATGGTTGGAAAAACAAAGCTTTTAATATCTCATGAAATGTACTCTTTTTGAGCTCTTTTGGCTCTTGACCCACTTTTAGATTGCTTTGGGATGCTCATGCAGCCAGAATGATCAAAGCATCTCTCTCTCTTTCCTCTTTTTAGAATATTAAAGGAGACCAGGAAGAAGGCCAAATGAAGTGAATCATGGAGCTATTTATTTATCTGAACCTGAGCTAAATCTTAGGGGTGAAGGGCAAAAATAAACCATTCTTAGTTTTTTTTTTAAACCCCGGATTACCAGGATTATTCAGGTAGGGATCTAGGTGTAAATTGTAGCAGTCATAAAAGGTGGTTTTACCTGGAATGACCTCTGTTAAGTATCTTCGTCTGGCCCTTGCAATGGTATTTGCTATCTGATTGTTCAAAGGTCCTAAAACATTGATCCTTAGTGCAGAAAATAACCATTTATCTCAGGTTACTACTGCTTTGAATACTCAGTTTCCTTTTTTGATCCTTTGGAGCTTTTTAAAAAAAAATAAATAGGGACCAGCAGTCGGTGTAGTGGCTATGTCGCTGGACTCCCATATAGTTGCAGCAGTTGGAGTCCCGGACCTGGTGGCTTAAACTCATACTGGGCATGTGTGCATGCGTGTCCAAAATCCAGAGAGGAGAATAGAGGAGAAGGGATTGCGGCATGACCACACCTCTTGGGGGATGATTTCTCTTTCTGTCTCTCTGTCTGTCTCTGTCTTTCTGGCGAGCGCATGCGCCCTATAGCAAAAACCTCTCCCCAAAAATTAAATAAATAAATAAATAAAAACATCAGCACATTTATACCATGTGCCAAAAGCTTTTCTAATGATTGGAATGTGAAAGTCCCCAATCCTGAAGGAGGATTCTTGTATGTAGTTGAGTCCTTAAAGACACATGTAACGGGACCTTTCTTTAATCACTGGCGGATGTGACATGTTGTGATAGAGAACAGTGGACTTGGATTCAGAAAAAATCAGTGATAGGCCATGTTGAACACTTGCTTTTTGACTTTGAGCAGGCCTGTTACTCTTGGACTGTCTTTCCATCTGTAAAGTGTGTGTATGTAAGTGGGAGGCGGCAGATGGTACCTGCCCGGTAGTCGTGTCAGTGCAAAGATCATAAGGGTGTGAAAGCACTTCAGAGAATGTAAAGCACTATACAGATATAAGTGCAAAAGTGTTTATGTGACTATTTTATCTCAACTTCATCAAATCTTGTTATCTTTGAGAAACTGTAAATATGGTTTATCGTCTAAATATTTTATCTAGCACTGATAATTTAGAAAAAGATAAATGAGAACTATCAAGGTTGGAAATTAAAAACACTTGAGATCTTAGGTGGAGGTTATAAACTACCTATGAACAAATTTATAAAATCTCCTAATTTTTTTTTTTTTACAAATAAAATTTGAAATTTTTACTTTTCTTTTTTTTTTGAAGAGATTTTTGTTATTGGACACATGCATTCACCAGAGAGACAGAAAGCTAGAAGTCACCTCCTGGGGGGGATGGCCTCGCCACTATCCCTTCTCCATTCTCCTTTCAGGATCTTAAGCACGCGCACGCACTTGCACACACCCGCCATGAGTTCTGAGGGGACTCTAACCATGGTTGACTACATGGGAATCCAGCAACGTAACCATTATGCCATCTGTTGGTCCCCGAAATTTTTGCTTTTTAATTTTTATCTTCTTTTCCGCTCCTAGACTTGGAAAATTTTTCCCAATTAGATTCTTTGACTCGTCATACATGGACTTTACACTTTGGACTACCTATAGTAAATTATTTTTTACATCAGTCTGGTTGCTACTCATTGTCTAAGATGATTCTGAACTTTTCCTTCCTAATTAGTATATATTCAGGGGAATGTAACCTAATTTAATGTGACCCTCGTCTGAGTATAAATAGGGGGTTAAATCTGTCAGAATGTACATCACGATGATTGAAATATTAGTGTAACGTTTTGGTGCCTTTGAAATGACCAGACTGCTCCCCTACATTAGAATAGATCGGTGAGGGAATCCGTCGGCTGGTTCGGTCATTCATTAAACAGGTATCGATACAGCGCCTACTGTTGCCAGGTCCTAGTCTAAAACGGTAAACAAAGCAGACACGTTCCAGCTTCTGTGGGGCTTACATTCTAGTGCAGGGAGACAGGAAGTAAGAGATAACGTGGCTAGTAGGCAGGATGGTGATAAGAACTGTAGAGAAACATGAAGGCGGAAGGAGATGGGGAGTGTACACAGAGAGGCAGAGCGACTGCAGTGGCGTGAGCCTGGGGAGAGGAGCAGACGCAGTTGGAGAGGCAGTGGGACTTCGTGGGGACTTGGCCTCTAACCTGAGAAAAGGCCCCATTAATGAATTGTGAGTGGATGATCACATGACCTGACCTGTAATTTTTAAAGGATCATTGTTGGTAAGAGACGAATGGTTCAAGGCAGAAAAACCATCTAAAAGACTATTGGAATGATCCGTGAGCTTGGTAGCATTGGAAATGGTTAGATTCTGTTTTTAAAATAAAGCCAGCAGATCTTACTGTTGGATAAGAGATGGAGATGGGGCACGGCTAACACAGCATTTTGTTCTGCGCTCCTTAAAGCTTAGAAATTTAGTAAGATGGGGGAGACTGGGAGAAGAGCAGGTTTATGGGTGGTGCAGTGGTGGGGAGGTCCGGAGGCCTTCAGATTGGAACTTTCTAAGGACGAACATTCGGGAGCCGCGTGGCAGTGCAGCAGTAACGCAGTGCCGGGAGCCAGGCCAGGGCAATCCCGGGTGCTCAGCTGGAGACCTCCCTGAACGCCAGGTGCTCCTGGTTCAGGGCAGGCCGAAGCTCCGGCTGTATCACAGCACGAAGATCCTGTGGAGGGTGTCTATCTCTGTCTCTCTGTCTCTTCTCTCTCTCTCTTTCTCTCTCTCTCTGGTTCTCATAGAAGAAAGAAACTTAAAAAAAAAAAGGAAAAGAAGAAGAAATGCATATTAAAGGGCCAAGTAAAGAATGTCTGGTAGATCGCGGAGTGTATTAGAGGACGGTTACGGAGAGCGGACCAGATCATTTAGGCCATTTGCCCATGGACAGTCTTGGGAACGCAGTTTGTAGATGGTATCTGAAGCACTGAGCCTGGGGGACACCTAGGAGCGCGTGTAGACAGGAGAGAGGAGAGATCTAAGGCCCGAGCATTGAGGCACCTGTATTTGGAGTGTAGAGAAGTGAGGAACCAGCAAGTGAGGATGACAAAGGTGGAAACCAGAGAGTCGGGTGTTCTGGGAGCCCCCAGATGGAGTTGTCATGTTGTCAGCTGCTGCTCACAGGTAAAGAGGGGGACTGAGAATGGGTGGTTTCCTTCAGCAATGTGGAAGACGTTGATGAGCTTAATATGGGAAGTCTGGCAGATGGATGGGGGGAAAGGCCTGGCTGATGTGGATTCAAGAGAAAAGGAGAGACGTGGAGATGGTGAGTACAGCCAATGCTTTGGAGTTTCATCGTAGGAGGGAACTGTGCATGTATGTGTAGAGATAGGGAGAAGAGGTCTTGTTTTCGTTTTGTTTTGCCTTTTTTCAAGTTTTAGTTGTATATTTAATGTGATGGGGATGGTCCTGGAGAGAGGGAATATGTGACAGTGCCATGTGGAAAAGCGGTCACTGCCGGAGTTTCCTTACACAGGCGGGAGGAGCTGGGACCTGGTGCACGCGGGAAGGGCTAGCCCTGGCCAGGTTCTAGCTGGAAGCGTGGATCACTTCACTCATAATCAGTGACAGGATTCTGCAGTATAGAAATGATGAGTTGTCATCTAGTAGCGATCGAGAGTTTGCTGTTCCAGTATGGCTAGAACCATAACCACATACGCTGCTGTAGGCCTCTTGACCCTTATGGTGTCCGTAAGTGCTTGGACACTTTTTTTTTTTTTTTTGGAGGTTTTTGCTATAGGGCACGTGTGCTCACCAGAAAGAGAGAGACAGAGAGACAGCAAGAAATCACCCCCCATGGGGGATGGCCACGCTGCAATCCCTTCTCTTCCATTCTCCTCTCAGGATCTTGGGCACGCACGCACATGCGCCCGGTGTGAGTTTAAGCCACTGGGTCTGGGACTCAAACCGTGGTCAACTACATGGGAGTCCAGTGACATAGCCATTACGCTAACTGCTGGTCCCCAGTGCTTGCACACTTTTGAAGTTGGAAGGTGAATAATCGTCTTTTCCATCTGTGCTTCAACCCTGCTGGAATTCTTATTCAGATGTACTGCATGTATTCTGATTTTCTTAAAGACTATCTCTGATTTTGTTTAACGTCTAAAGATAGCAAATAATATTAACTTTTCATTTACATTAACTTATTTAATAAATGAA